CAGGCTCGGGCCTGCATGCGCCCAGCCCCCAGCCTCCCGCTAGGAGCCAGTCATGTGGACTAATGAGGGCACGCTAATCCGGCCTGGCCTGGCCTGGCCCTTCCTGTGTCTTCAGGGGGGATGGGCTGGAGGACTCAGGGTCTTCAGAGACAATGCCATGTTCCTGGGGTGACGGGGAGCCCTGGTCCCTGCCTGGGGCTCCTCCTGGGGGACCTCTCGGAGGGCTAGGCTCCATCCCCAAGCCGCCTGGCGGTCGGTGGACATCTGTGGGCTCTGCTGATCACCGTGCCAGGCCTTGCCCTTGGCTCCCAGGGACAGGAGCAGACATCTCACTCCTGGCTCTGCCCCTGCCCCTGCCCCATGTCTGTGGGTGGCTGGGGCGAGGGGCAGTGGGCCAGGCCTGGACTTGCCCAGCAAGTGTCTGTGTGAGCCAGGCTGAGTTGGGGAGCCCAGAGCTGGGTGGGCGGGTGGGGTGCCAGCCGAGCAGGGCTCCGAGGGAGGAGGGGGGAGTGGCCAGAGTGTGTGCCCTGGTACTGAGCGCTGGTGGTCCTGCTTGTGTCCCGGGGCCCCTCCTGTCCTGCTGTCCCTGGGCCCCATGGCTCTGTGCTGGGGGCCGGCTCCGGCTCCGGCTCCGGCTCCTTCCAGGGGAGGAGGGGAACCTGAGCTGGCTGCTGGTGTCCTGTGCCCGGGAGTTTAATATTTCGAGCTCCAGCAGAGCTGCTTCCATCTGCTGCGGGCGGGTGGCCGAGTATTCATTACCGACCGGGCGGCCCACCGTGCCCAGCAGGCCTGGGGGCTTTCAGCTCTGGTGTGAATTCCGGAGTCTGCGAAGGGGGCAGGGAGGACAGGGCGCTGACTCAGTCTGCAAAATGGGCGAGGGCACCTGGGGCTGCTTTCCTGGTGCTGGCGTCTGGCAGCCCCTGGCTTTCTGGCCCTGGGGACCTGGCCCCGGGGACCCGGCCTCGGGTGCGCCTGGCCCTTGCCCAGCAGGGGTGGGCCATGCCGAGTTGGGTGGGTAGCATGTCCAGGTGCCCACAAGCTGGACCTGACGAACTTGGCCGCCAACAGCAGGAGCTCTTCTAGGAGCCGAGGAGGTGGGGCCAGTGCAGCCTGACCTGGACTCTGCCCCTGTGCAGGGCCAGCAGGTGGGAGGAGGTGTGGCCAGCGCTCTGCTCCCTGGAAGGTTCCCTCTGACCCTGTGAGCTGCCCCAGGAGACCCTGAGGGTGCTGGCTGGGCCTGGTCCCTGGGGGGTCACTTGGGGCGATGTGACCCCAGGCCTGGGGGCCTGCAGACTTCAGGTGGAGGGTCTTCTCTGATGAGAGGCGGCCCCCATCTCTCAGCCTCTGAAGGGCTGATGGCATGTCCTGCCCAGCTCAGGTCTGACCCCCCCCACTGTGCCCCTGGGGGTCACGGTGCCTCCGGGTCCAGCGGGAGGACCCTGGTGGCCAGGCATCTGGTGGCTGGCGCAGGCCCTGGCTGATGTGCCTTCTGCCCCCAGATGAAGATCTCCTTCAATGACAAGAGCCTGCACACCACGTTTGAGTACCCATCCGAGAGCTCCCTGGTGCAGGAGGCCCAGGCCGAGGGTGAGGAGGAGGAAGAGGAGGAGGAGGAGGAGGAGGAGGGCGGCTCCGGCTCCCGCCTGAACGGGGCAGTGGAGAAGCCCTTGGCGCTCTTCCTGCCCCGAGCCACCTTCGTGCACAGTGTGGCGCCCGACAGCCCTCGCCTGCCAGACGGCAGCTCAGGTGAGTGCCTGCCGGTCCAGGTGGACAGCCCAGTCGGTAGCTGGGCCACGTCCACACGTTCATGTGTCCACGTGTGCCCTTGGCCTGCAGGCCTGTCCAGCTACACTCCAAAGCACTCCATGGCCTTCAGCAAGTGGCAGGAGCAGCCTTTGGCACAGGCCCCGGGGGAGGTGGAGCCCTCACTGAAGGAGGTCATGGTGAGTGGGGCAGGGGGATGCCCAGCATTGGGTGGAGGCAGGTGCCTAAGGCCTGGGTGGCCCCACTGACGGCCTTCCTACCCCGCAGCTCACCCCCGCCAGCCACAACGACCTTTCGGACTTCCGCAGCGAGCCAGCCCTGTATTTCTGACGCCAGTCCCACCAGGATGGCCAGGCTCCACCCTCGTTCTGCACACCCCCTTCTGCCCTGCCAGCTCTGCTCCCCCAAAGCCCACCCCTTTCCTGGGGCCTCAGGACCATGCTGCTGCTCCAGGCCTGAGCCTGGGCCACCAGAGGCCACTCCTTCCCGGGGGGTCTCGCCCTGCAGCCATGATTTGGGGGCAGGGTCCTGCTGGCAGCCATGCCCAGTGACTGTTGGGTGTGTCCAGGGCAAAGGACTGACTCAGCTGCCTGTCCCCTGAAGGACCACAGGCCCCCCCCCCCCGGTCTGAGCTCGGCCTCCTTTGTGATGAACGGAATCTGTTCTCACCTCTGATGGACTCAATAAACAGCACTGGACCCGCCGCCGCCTCGCATGGTCCTTCGCCTGAGAAGGGGGCTCGGCTCCACTGGGTGCTGGCAGCGGAGAGGGGCCCACACAGGGTGATGGGGCCCAGCCTGGACCTCTGTGCCTGGGGGGACCCCCACACCTCGCAGGGCTGCTTCTCACTCCCCACAGCCCGTTGCCCTCCCAGCCACCCCATGCCCAGGAGAGGGACCTCCCTGTGCAGGCCTCACCTCTGGGGCACCCCCTCCCAGCACTGGCAGTGGGCCTGCTCTCGGGCTGGACTCTGGACCCAGGGGCCGGGACGGCATGCGGTGGGCTGGGTGTTGTGGATGTTGGGTATGAAGCGGTTTCCCTGAAGGGCCAAGAACCTGGGAGGGACCAAGGGGAGGGCTCCCGTGGGGTGGGTGCTAGCAGCTGGCAGGGGAACCCAGCGGGTCCTGGGAGGTGAGGGAGATGCAGAGCTGCCTGCTGGGAGCAGCCCCAGGCTGGGCTCGGCTGCCTGCCCAGTTGTACCCGGGAGCCAGGGCCACTTAGTCCACACCTTGGCTGGGAGGTTGTCCCCCTGGGGAGCCCGGGCTTGGGAGGGAGGAGTGTTTTCCTGGGGGAGTAGGCCTGGTGTCTCTGGACTCGCAACCTACATACTTGCCAACCTCCCCACTCCCCCCGCAAGCAGCTGCGGGACCTGACAGATGGACGTAGAGAGGACGAGGGCTGGAGGGCTGGGCCCCAGGCACCTGCAAAGCCAGAGAGGGCATGCCTGGTGGGTGGCCAGGGAAGGTGGGCAGCAGTGAGGCCGTCAGGCTGAGCGGGATCTGGAATCAGAGCTGAGGCACAGCCCTTGCTGGGCGACTGGAACCCAGGACATCTCCCTAGGTCAGGGACCAGCACCAGCAGGCAGAGCCCTCGGGGAAGGACAGGCTGCGTGTGCTGGAGTCAGGGGAAGGGCCAGGAATGAGGAGGGTGGGTGGTGTGAGGGTCACAGGAGATGCTCAGGGCACCCTCAGCTCTGTCTCCCAGGGCAGAGGCCCTCCCCACCCCCTCCCCACAGAGAAGCCCCACTCTCCTGACGGAACACAGGCAGCAGGGGGCATGGATCTTTATAAAAACAACCTTTATTGACAGTCACAGGCCACTAGGGCAAGCTCTGAGGTGAAGGAGGCCCCTGCCCGCTTGCCGCCTGGGCACCTGCTGGCTGAGGAGCGCGAGGGGCTCCCATGAAGCCGAGACTAGAAGCAGGGCTGCCCCGCAGTCCAGGGGGGGTATGAGGCTTCCGGCCCGAGCAGAGCTGACCCAGAGCCCACACCCCCACTGCCTGGGCGAGTGCGGGGACTGGACCCCCACCTGGGAGGCTGTACCCAGGGGCAGTGGAGGCCGGGGGCTGCCACCTGAAGGCAGCTGCTGCCATGAACAAGGCGTTTTGAAGACAGACTTGCTGGGGACGGGCCTGTCGAGGAAGCAGTGGAGGCGCCCTGCCCACCCGCAGCCTGGTCAGCTGTCCTTGCCGGCACTGCTCTTCTGCTCCGAGGCTGTGGCCTTGGTCAGGTTGCCCGCCTCCCTCTTCAGGACACTAAGCAGAGTCTGCGAGCTCTCCAGGATCTGGGGACAGACACACGGGGGTCCTGCTGGAAGCTCCCACAGCCAAGAGGCAGCCCCGCCACCTCCCACCCCAGAGTCTAGCCCAAAGCCCCTCCCTCACACCCAGGAAAGCGCGTTAGCTCTGGCCCCTGCTGCCACTCGCTGCTCCAGGACAGAGCACGAGGCTCCACGGACAGCCACACCATCACCCCCCGCGGGCCTGGCCCTGCCACGTCCTGTCACTTCTGCTTGGGGGCGCCCAGGCCCCGAGCCCCACCTTGAGATAGGCGGCCTCCGTCTCCGCGATGGTCCGATCAAACTCATTCCGAGAGGCGATCTTGCGCGCCAGGTTCTCGTTGACTCTGGCCAGCTTCTCGGTCAGCTGCCTCACCTCGTTCTGCAGCCGCTGCTTCTCCTCCTCCTCCTGCTGGATCTGCCGGCACAGCTCCTCGCGCTTCTGGCACAGCTCCTCGATGCCTGCGGCGCGAGGGACCGGCTGTGGGCGCGGGAGGGGGCGCATCCCACCCACC